GGCCACGTCGAGCACTGGCAAGAGTAGTGCAACGATATCGACGTGGTGCTGCGCGACAGCATGTAACAGCGGTGTGTTGCCTTCCTACGCCACCGACCCATGTGTCTTGGGTGGATGCAGCAGGTGGTTCAAGTAGTGTACCCCATCTGGAAGGCTTGGGTCCGCGCCGTTCGCAAGAAGCTGCTCGACAATCGCCGTGTGGCCGTCAAAGGCGGCCGCACACAAATAGGTTGCCCCGGTCTACAGGAGCCTGTCAGAACGAGCGTCGCTTATCCGGAGTACCGAAAGCACGCGGTTGACGTTGGCGTGCGGAAGCAAGCACGCGACAATGTCACCCGCACCATGTACGACGGCTGCATACAGCGCCGTCGTGCCTTCCTATTCCAGACACTCTATGTGAGCGCAAGCAAGGTTTGGGGCAAAAGGACACACGGCGTTGATACGGTCGACATCGTGTTTGATGTGCTGGACGAGGAAACGTACAACGTCCAGATGCCCTTGGGCGCAAGCGGCCTCGAGGGGAGCTTCGTGCTCCTAATGCAACGCAGATCCGCTTTGTACATAAGGTTACAGACGTCACATACGGGCTTGGAAGGCGCGAGGTGCGCCCCGACCGAGTACAGAGCGTGGACAAGCGCAAGGTTGCCGGCCGCCGCTGCGATGGCAACCGCCGAATAGCCGTGCTATTCCATCATTCTTGACCGTCAAACACCGGTTGATACATGGGCCACCTACCGCAGCGACTGCGTTGACGTTGCAGCGCGGCGCGAGGTACGTAACGAGGTCGTCCCAGCCGCGGCGAGTTGCGAGCATGAGCGCCGTGTTGCCGTTCTAGACACGCATTATTATAGCTCACTGGACGGCGCGCTGTAGGGTATACCCGGTCAACTTGGTTGACATCAACGCCGTAGGTTTCGACAAGCAGTTTGGCAAAGTCCACCGAGTGCACGTCGACGGCCAGTAAAAAGAGCGGCATGCCCTACGTGACCAGTCTACAGATCGCAGGACAATCAAGTGCATGCTTACGTAAAGCATGACGTTGGCGTTGGCGTGGAAATCATGCAGCACGCGCGCACTCTCCACATCGTTGGCATCAAAGGCGTAGCAGAGCGCTGTGACGCCGTCGTCCTAAAAACAAAAAAAATTCGATTCGACAAATCATCCAAAGAGCGTGTGCGTACGTCGGCACAGGCTTCCGTGTCGGCGCCGTGCTCGAGCAACGCCGTCACAATGTCGGTGAGACCGTGTCGACACGCCTCTTGGAGCGCCGTGACTCCGCTCTACCCGACCCCGTCAGATCCGCGCCATGGATTCCATCAGCGTACAGGCGGCGCTACATTGGGATCGGCGCCGTGACGCAAAAGCGATCGTACAATCTCGGTATGCTCGGATTGCACTGCGGTGATGAGCGGGGTCGTGTCCTACGTCCCGTGAGCGAGGCAGATGGATGCGTCCATGAGCTACCTGGGCCACGATCGCATTCACATCAAGTCCCACTACCAGCAAGCTATCGACGGCTTCGAGGTCGCCCGCGCGGGCTGCGAGGACGAGAAGGGACGGACCGGCGACCTAATCGATAGGCATATGCGTAGCATCGTCGTTTTGACGGGAAGCGTCGACACCTCGGGCGTGAGGCCGTGGAGCTTGACGTCGGCGAGGAGCGACGCGATGGCGCACGCATCGCCGTCATGGGCCTGGTCGAGGAGAGAGCTCGTGGTGGCGGCCTACAATGCGACGTCGTCGTCGTCGTCGTCACAATGGTTCATAGACATTACCATGGCACGATGGCTGCGCGTTTGAAAATGTGGGTCCCTTTGGTGGTGTCTTTCGGTGAGACACGCGGCGAAATTCGCTTCTTCAAGTACAACATACCACGCGTGGCGCCTTGCTTTGTGTCAAGTGTACTTGTCTAAGGGAATGTCATGACCGTTCAACGTCGCCGCTGCGACCTCGGTCGGTCACGGATATCAGGGCGCGACGACCGTTCGCCTTTCCCAACACATCGCGCTACAAGAAAATGATGTGTCGCGGAGGCGCCGCTTCGATCCTGGACGGCATTTGTGTTGATCCAAGGACTTCATTCGCGTGCAGAAACCATCAATCGCAACGAACGACCCAATCCACACTCCCCTCCTCGGCCGATTCTCTGTGGCTACCCTATACACCTTATCCATTTTGATTGGGAACGGCGAGAAGAAGTTTGTGTGGATGTAACCAGGACTACATATACGTCCACACGTTTTTCGTCCACGCTTCCCGAATCAAGGGTGACTTTTACTGACCATGCATGAGTGATCCTTGCCTGAATCTGAATAATGAACCACACAAATGATTGCCGGAACATTCAAATTCGTGTCCAGGAATGCGCCAGCACAGATATGCGGCGACGAACCTGCTGCGAAGTAGCTGCACGAGTGCTTGCCTTGATCGCTTGGCTCCACGAACGAATCCAGACTCTACATTTTGCTCGTCTTATTCAAAACGGTCCAGCTTGAAGCGCTCGCACGGAAACGTACGAGGCAGAATTCTTGTTAATTTAAAAGCAGCACCAGCAATCAAACGGGCAGTCGGCAGTGTCGCCGCCTTGGTTGATGCGCAGCGATGCCGCCGTGTAGATCGGAAGCCCGTCCGCATCGTAGCGAACTATCGACGCAATGTATTCGTGTGAGGCATGACAAGGGCGGTGGCAAGCGTACCTGGCTGCGGGTTGGAGCTGTCACTATGCTTCGTCTTGTCTACCACGGTGTACAACATCGTATGAGGTCCTGCTGCCATAGAGGATAGCATTGTACATTCGTTCTCGATCTTCTCGAGCTTCTTGCGGTACGCGAGCTTCTCGGCGCGCTCCTCGTCGAGCCGCTTTTGCTCGGCCGCACTGTCGGCCTGGGCCTTCTTCTTCTTGGCCTTCAAACCCGAGAAGAGCGCGTCAAGCTCCAGCTTCGCATCGGTCTTGTCTTCGATCTCGTCGTCGGCGACTGCGTCAGCAACATCGTTGGCAGCGTCATTGGCCTCGTCGGCGGTGGCCGCTTGCTTGGCCTTTTTCTTCTTCTTCTTACTGCTTTTGGACGCAACCGCGACAGTATTGGTCGCAGCCACTTGGACGATCGCCTGCTTGGCGTCGGCTTTGGCAGC